TCATTCTTCTTCATGGCTGCATAAAATTCCATTGTGTATAAATACCACATTTTCTTAATCCATTCATCAGTGGTAGGGCATCTTGGCTGTTTCCACAACTTGGCTATTGTGAATAGTGCCGCAATAAACATGGGTGTGCAGGTGCCTCTGGAGTAACCTGTGTCACATTCTTTTGGGTATATCCCCAAGAGTGGTATTGCTGGATCATATAGTAGATCAATGTTTAGATTTTTAAGTAGCCTCCAAATTTTTTTCCAGAGTGGTTGTACTAGTTTACTTTCCCACCAGCAGTGTAAGAGGGTTCCTTTTCCCCACATCCTCGCCAACACCTGTTGTTAGTGGTGTTCCTAATGATGGCTATTCTAACTGGGGTGAGGTGGAATCTTAGTGTGGTTTTAATTTGCATTTCCTTTATTGCTAGGGATGGTGAGCATTTTTTCATGTGTTTTTTGGCCATTTGGATTTCTTCTTTTCAGAAAGTTCTGCTTAGTTCACTTGCCCATTTCTTTATTGGTTCATTAATTTTGGGAGAATTTAGTTTTTTGAGTTCCCTATATATTCTAGTTATCAGTCCTTTGTCTGATAGGAAGAACATTTTGTAATGATAAAATGTCAATCCATCAAAAAGAAATAACAGCTGGATGCTAGTGGCTCATACCTGTCATCCTAGTTACTCAGGAGGCTAAGATCAAGAGGATCATTGTTCCAGACTAGTTGGAGCCAAAAAGTTTGTGAGACTCCATCTCAACAGAAAAAAAATACTGGGCATGGTGGCACACCTTTCATTCCAGTGACAGTGGGAAGCATAAAACAGGAGTATCATAGTCCAGGCTGGCTTGGGCAGAAAGCAAGACCTCAAAAATAACCAGCTTAAAAATGACTAGAAGCTTGGTTCAAGCAACAGAGTGTCTGTCTGGCAAGTGCAAAGCCCTGAATCCAGGTCCCAGTACTGCCAAAAGAAAACCCCAACAATTGTAAACAGAAATATATCTAAAAAGAGATCCCAAAAATATACAATGCAAAAATTGGCATAATTGAGGAGAGAAATAGATAATTCATCAGCAATAATTGGAGTCTTCAATATCCCATTTTCAGAAAGAAGCAGAATAGTCAGACAGAAGATCAAAAAGGAAAAAGATCTGTAGTTCAAACCCCCAGTCCCACCAAAAAAAGGGAGGAAATAATAAAATAGATCTGAACAACACTATAAACCAACAAGTTTTAACAAATACCTATAGCATATGCTACCCAATGAGAGTAGAGTACACATTTTTCTCATATTCACAGGGAACATTCTCTAGAATACTTGATATGTTAGCCCATAAAAAAAGTCTTAATAAATTTAAAAGAACTGAAATGACACAAAGTGGACTATCTGAACACAATGGAATTAAATTCAAAATCAATAACAAGAAAAGTGGAAACATTCATGAATATGCAGAATTAAACAAGATACACCTAAACAATCAAAGTTAATGCCACTACTTTTTTTACCCAAAACTATATATGAGAAAAATTAGACCTTCAAATAAAATGTTGTAAACTATTGATAGAATGACTAGAGGAACATGAGGAGGTACTGAAGGTATTTATTTTTCCACCCCAATATACCAGATCTTTATATAACCATATTTGAAACTAGAGTTGTACTAGGCCCTAGTTTAAGTTGAAAGCTCTTTTCTGTCTCTAATTTTTTTATCACTACAGAAAAAACACTGTAATCACTATGAGTTTAGGCAAGAGTTCTTTTGGATCCAGAACCAGCCAAAGTCTCAGGATAGATTAGCACATAAACTTTTCAGATAGTCATCAGGGTTTTCAAGTTTTAAAATTGAAACTTCGATGTAAAAACAAATAATAAGCCTTAAGATTAGCTAAGAATTTTTAGTAACTCACTAAAGAATCATACTTAATAAGAGCCTTCAAGGCAGTGGATTTGTCCTTGTTAGTAATCACCATCCAGGAGCTGGTACACAAGGAGGTGGCACATAGTGGCACTGAATGTTTTTTCTGTTTCTGACAATATATCCTACCAAAATTTTCAAAAAATCTGTTCTTAGGACTACCACACATAGAATGTAAAAATTTGGAGCAAAGAGGCCTGTTCATGATAGAGCAATATTCCCAGTGATCCACAAGAAAGGAGGATCTCATTGGGTAAGTCCATGAGCACTCACAGCAGTTTCTAAGGAGTACCTAGTAAAAATGGGCTTGTAAACAAGTCAGATGTATGATGGCAAAAAAAGTCTGTTTTAACTTTACTGAGACAGATTTGTGACATAAAATTAGATGCCTGTGACTAGAAGTTAATATTGTATTTCACTTATAATAACACATTGGAAATACTGGCAATGAGGTTGTGGATTTCAATTCCTTTCTGGAAAACTGATGACTCCCTCTACCCTATCATTAATTGTTCCTATCCTGTGGTCTGTAATCACATGAAAGTTATTATTTTAGGTTATGATTAAATCTTCTTTTGAAGAACCCAAAGAATGAGATGTAGTCACTACCTATTAATATTCACTATCTATACAAAAGGAGTAATATTTAGCATGAATGTGTTAAGCCAATTTTAAGAATGAATTACAGATACTTTATAGGATATAGTCATTAGCCAATTTTATTTTAGCCTGTATTTCCTTATAAAATTCATAGTTTCTGCACATAAAAAGTCTCTACTATATTTGAAGCTGTAGTATTGTAAGGCAAGAGAAACTGCAGCCTTCTTGTCACTTATAAGGAGAGTCTGTATGAGAAAAGAACCAACTACAAGGAGGGAAAGCCAAGGGAGTACAATAGAAGAATCAGGAACTGGGTGATATCATATGCATTCCTTTATGAAGCTTCATCTAGACTAAGCATGAACTTTTCAATAATTCAATATGCTGCACTCACTAGGATTCACTGATGAAAAGACTATCTCTATCCTAAGCAGACAAACATGGCTTAGTCTCTGAGAAGAAGGGGGCTATGGGTTTAGTATCATTTTTTATAACTAGACTCTAGCTCCATCCATGATATGATTCTTCCATGGCACTAATGCTGGGAGAGGATGCTGGTGATGGTACTTATCTAACCATCTGTATAGACTTTACCTGCTTTATTCCAAGCCCTAATTTCAAGGATGCTGGACAAAGTCAAGCAGAAACAAACTAATTGCCATTTTAGGACTCAAGAAAGTCTCAAGAATTGGAGCACCAAGGACAGGGTGTAGAAGTGGCTGAAGTTTCACACAGGACACTGTTAGATCTCCAGGAACTTCCCTCTATCTTGTACATCTACACAGCTACCCTTCCTCAACTTCAACAGAGTACTAATGATTTTGTATTGATGGTACTGGAGAATGAACTTAGGACCTTGCACTTGCTAGTCAAGTGTTCTACCACTTCAGCCATGCCTCAGTTCTGAAGATTTACTTTCAGAAGAAGTTGAACAACGGGAACTTTAGATTCAAGAAGACCTTCAGTAATAACATGATGAAAGCAGAGTGATTAATTAAAAGCCTACACATTTAACAGTGAGAACTGCCCTCTTCCCACTCTATACCAGCCCCACCAACACCATTCTTCCCCATGGCTCCAAAAACACTGGACATCAGGCTTACACCAAAACAGCTGAGGAAATTTCCTAACAAAATGATCAGCTCACAACTCAGTTACCCTATGGAAAGCCCACTAGTCACATTTACACACATACATCAGCTTTGTAGTGCTCCACTCTCATGTATGAACTAGTTGCAAAAGGTCAAGCATTAAAAAAAAAAGTTCTCTAACACCAAATACAGAGACAAAAACAAACAACCAGAAAAAAACTGGACTCAGAGACAATGTACATTACAAAAGGAGAGCCTCAAAAGGCTCTCATTAAAATCCCTAAAGAAGCTGAGGGCATGGCTCAAATGGTAGAGTACCTGCCTAGTGAGAATGAGGTGTGAAGCCCTGAGCTGAAACCTAGTACCACCACCACCACCACCATACACACACACACAAAAAAAATCCTTAAAGAAGACACTGCATTTATGAAATCAAGAGAGAAATGCCATTTTTAAAAATAAAAATAACATTCATGAAATAAGAAAATTGCTGTTGAAACATCTAAAATTCTATTAGAAATGGAAAATTAATTAGAAGAGAAGATAAAGTTGAGTAAACCTTGCAAAAAAGTAAAACAGAAAGATGAGAATATGGGACTGGGGGCATGGCACAAGTAGTAGAGTGCCTGCCTAGCAAGACCAAGTCCCTGAGTTCAAGCCCCAGTACCATCAGAAAAAAGATGAAGAAATGAATGGTAGAGATTTTAAGAGAGAGAAAGAATGAATCCAGAAGCTCTAATATGAGAATAATAAGAATTAGAAGTAAAGAGAATAAAATGGAAACAACTCCAAGGATTGAAGGATGTACATCCCCACCTCACTGAGCATTCTTCCATAATTACGTTAAACAGACATGCAAAGGCCCATCACTGGGATCTTTGAAGATAAGTAGTCATTACCAAACTCAAAGAAAGAAAAAAGGATAAGGAAGAGAATTATCTGGATGCTGGCATGCCAATGACAGATAAATTCTTCTTTTAATACATAGGCATGCCAATTATAGGTAAATAAAACCCTAAATGTGATGAGTGTCCCACTTTAAGGAAATAAATCATAAAAAAAGCACAGAAGTCTCTTCATTGGGAATATATTTAGGTAACTCTTATAATAACTCTGCTGTGCCAGAAGTTTATTTTATTAATTTTAAAAGTAAGTAATCCATGAGACTTAGACATATCTATTTTCCTAGGTTTCCATTAATCTTGCATTTGTTTATATAGATTTTTGCCTATATTCTTTAGTTATCTTTCTTTTGGTGTTATAAATACAAAAGATTTACCAACATTAATCATGTTGAATTTTATTAATAATGAAATCAAGTCATGAGCCTTTGTTATCTTTCAGTATACCAAAACTCTTTACATTTTATAATAATTCCCTCTCATCTGAAGGGTCATACACTCACCTTGAGGGTCAACTTCTTTAGCTAGCTTCAGTGCATCCGAGTTTGCAAGATCAGTGTTGGCTGGAGTAACTGCCAAAATCAGACAGTTCTCCCTCGTGATAAACTGCATAATCATTTCTCTGATCTGATACTCGATATCTGGTGGCTGGTCTCCCACGGGCACTTTAGTTATTCCAGGTAGGTCGATAAGGGTGAGATTTAACACTGTGTGGAAAGGAGTGAAAGAGCCATACATATACCTTCCATGCTAAAAGACATGTACAATGCAGAATCACCTCCACTTAGCTCAACTTTATCCACTGTGTATCTCAATGACTCCAACCCAACTTACAGAATAAAAAGCACAGACTAGAAAATGGCTTTGCTAGTTTTCTCTATTTTGTATGATTTTGCTATGCCAAATGATCACTTTTACATAATTTGAAAGGCAGTGATTTTCAGGCCTACCAGTTTTTTCAGAGAGCTGTCATAGCCTAGCTGTCATAACTAGGAGGTTATAATTAAAACACTGAACAATAAATGCATATGCTGTCTGCCAGTCTCACGCATTGCCTTCAAGTGGTATAAAAATTCCCAGGAGGGAGTTGAATATGATCAAAGTACATTATATGCATGCACGAAAATGTCATAATGTAACCCATTATTTTGTACATAAAACTTTTGTGCTGTGTTTTAAAAACAACAAAAGCTAAGCAGAGAATTAGAAATGAACATTTGACCCACTGAAAATTTAGCCAGAATGGAGGCAATTCCCCATCTCATATTGTGAATTGATTATCTGATTTATAAAATTTTGCTGATAGTCTAGGGGAAAATCATAGTCAGTTCCTCAAAAAGAAAATAAATACAAATGTATAGGGCTGCAAGGAAATCAACACAGAAACACTCAGCAATAATATCATGTACCTGTAAGATTTTTCTAAAGACTGGAGAAAAATGGAAGTTTTCATGCATGTACCTTCCAAATTCTGAAAGCTTATAATAAAAATAAGGGAATTTAATTCCTTTCTCAATTCTGATTTTTTAAAAACTTATCTCCTCTGCCTTTTCATAAATATTGTAAGACCTCTTTGAACCAAGCCATACATGGCAGCTACCAAACATCCTAGAAATTCAGCGCCATGAGCATCATCTGCTCAAGCAATGCATGTTAACTAATCTCGTAAATGCTTGAGGAGGACTATTTGTACTTTCTATATTTTACTTACCATGTGGAGAATAGACTCGTAAATTAATGGGTATAGAGGAAATGCCTTTATTCATTCCAGTCACTCGATCTGTTTCTGCTTCAATCTCATGGCGAACTTCATCAAAATCTGTAAATTTTTTCCCTTTACAATGAAGAAATTCAGCATATTCTAAAAAAGACAAATTGAAACAACTAAATTCATGCATTCTATGCCAGAATTACAAGGAAGAAGTATTTCTTTAATTACAAGTCAAATTATCCAATGTTGTTTCTTCAGCCATTTTAATGAAAGAACACAGCAGTTACTAAGAATGACAATTAATACTCTAGAAATATTAAACAGTACATATACTGACTATGATAAATCTTCTAATTTTCAGATAAACAATAAGTTGTTATAAGAAATCCTTAAATAGGCAGCCTACTAAATAACTTAAGGAAAATTGTGACTGCCTAAATAAACAATAAAAACAAAACAACAACCTACTATTTAAAAAATTAGATCTTGTATACACGCAAAGCCTACCTACTAATCTTTCATTAGGTTGGAATGCTAAGTTATATAAATACATCTTCAGAAACTGAGAAAACTTAGAAACAAAATTTGTTTAATTCTTTTAAAAATCGTATACAGAATATTTTAGTTTAAAACACTATTCAAACTACCATGTAAACTTGCAGAATTAGACATTCCTTAAGAAAAAAATTATACAAAGTGTTACATCAAAGAAAACATTTACCTGCAATCTAAAAAAACATCTTTAAAACTTTTTTAAAATCTTTAAAAAAAAACTACCTAGGCAGAAGGAAAAATTCTAAAATAACTACATAAATAACAGAACTACTTTTTTATTTTAGTTACATCCTACCAAATCTTGTGCTATCATGTTGATACCAACTTCCATAGGTATCAGGTATATGAAAAACAACACAACTTGAAAAGGAAACTAGTATTATTAGATTTAAAAAAAAAACTTGATTCAGTTTTAACAAAAGAACAAATTTTAACAAGTATTTTGGTTTCCTTAATATATAGCTGAAGAATTGTGCTATCAACTTAGACTAAGGGTCCAGAGGCCAGCTGAGACAACTGCTGCAAGCTTACTACATTTCCTGCTTTACACATTCAATCTAAACACATGAAGATTAAATAGCAAGGCCCAGGGGGAAACCATGGTAAGACATTGCCCCTTATATTCAAGCTGCTTTGCATTACCTTAAGGAGCCAAAGATTATATCACAGAGAAAAAAGTTAACATGCAGTAAGTGCTGATCTGCACAGAAAATGAAAGGAAAAGCAGAGACAGGAAAAATGACTTCAGGCTACAGTGCTCAAAATAGGAATTGGGGTATGAACTGAATACTGAAGGGAGGAGAGGATTTCAACTTGTACAGGGAGAAAGAAAGGTCTTTCAAATAATCTTAATAACTTAAATTCCTGTCAGGTTGTTATACCAGCTTCTGCTTGGACTCCATTCACTGATGAGGATCTTAAGAGTTGATCTCTTCTTTGGAAAAAAAAAAACTTATTAGAAAACAATTCTTTATGCCGAAATGAAATCTGCTTTGTCTTATTCCACTAGTCCAAATCTTGCCCTCTGGATGTTATTCAGACTATCATCTTCCATGTAAAAAGACCAGAGTTCATCTCCTTCTGGAACTCTCGCCAACTTTTCTTTCTTGTTTGATCACTGCTCTGACCTCTCAATGGCAAACAAAGATTTCCCAGTTCCATCCCAGCTACTCAAGAGTAATGGAAGGGTCACAGCCCCTCAAACTAGACCAAAGAGTTTCTGCTTTTATTTATAAAGGTACTCAAATGACCTCGAATGACACCTCCTGTCATCGTGCATGGACATGAATATTTCTCTCTCTTGGTTTCTTTGTGAACTGTGCCATTTTCTGTGAAATCACAAGATAAGTCTCCTACAAGTTCATTCCTCTAATAACGGAACATACACAACACTAAAGGTACAGGAGGCTTCAGAACTCTGGCCTTAAGAGATCACTGCATCATTGGACATGTTTTTTCACAGGTTTACTTTCATAAGTGCCATTTTTATTAGAATCTAAGTCTCCAGAAGATAAAGCCTTCATTTTATTACCTACAGAATCCCTAGGCCAATACCATGACAATTTAAAGGTAGAGAGAGGACAAACAATAAGAAAAACAAAGAAGATAAAAAATAAATATTCACAGTCAGAAGTAATTTACAAAGGGCCGGGGATGTAGTTTAGTGGGAGAGCACTGGTCTAGCATGTTCAAAGCCCAGGGTTTGACCTTCAACATCAAGGAAAAAAAAAGTGATTTAGGAAAAAAATGGAGCTATTTATTGTTCACTTCAATATGTTCCATGGAAAATGTACCCTTGAGGACTCATAGCTATCACAATTACTACAGTCACAGAGTTCATAAGCTTCTGGATGCAGTGGGGGGGGAGGCTATCATTTCAATTGTTATTAATAAATTCAAATAACAAAACTGTAGCCCTCTTTTGTTACCACTAGATGGCACCTACTCTCTTTCTCCACAGGAAACTAAGGCCCTTCCTGAATATTGTAAAATCAATGCAATTTTCAAATTAGATTTAAATTACTCCCAGGGCTACTGAAAATGCTATTACCTTGGAACTGAGAAGTTATAACCTTTGTGTCTTTTTAAGGATGTGGTCCCACAGACAGATTCAGGAATGCCTGTACTCATTTACTTATTTGACTATTGATATCCTATTTGTCAAATATTGTTTTACAAATTGGGATATAGTACAGGGAAAGAAATAAACCTCTTGATTCACAACAGCTAAATTCTAATGAGGTGAGACCATAACAGTGTGTGGATGCCAGATAATAAGTGTTATGGAGACAATAAAACAGTAGCAAGATATTAGATACTTTGGGGGAAGAGGAAATTGTTGTGTTGGTTTGGTCAATATGATTAAGTGGCCACTGAGCAAAGACTAGAGAAAAGGGGCGATCAAGCCATTCTCCATGTGAGAACACACAGGCAGTGCCTGAAGAAGAGACATGCTGAGCATGCTGGGAAGGAGAAGGAAGACCTGTGTGGCTGGAGATGTGGACAGTGCTGGATGGTGGAGGACCTGGGGCCATTTTAAAGACTTTGGTTTTCACTCTGAGTAAGATGGTAGACAATTTGAAGGGTTTGGGGTACAGGAGAAATATAATGTCACTTAAGTTTGAAATGAATAACCCTGGCTGCTGTGTTAAAGACAGACAATGGAGAGCAAGGAAGAAGTTGATACTGGAAGAATTCAAGTCAGAGAAGATGAGGCAGGATGGGGGTGTGAGGGGGGTAGGCACAGTGGGGTTTAGAAAAGTGGCTAACTTCTATTTATTTTTAAAGAAAAATAAATAGGATTTGCTGATGGACTCAAGCTAGAGTATGGGAAAGAGGCATCTAGAATAGCTTTGAGTTTTACCTCAGCAAGTAGATGAATTCTGAAATATAAAAGACTGAAAGGAAGAGGTTGGGACAGGATGAAGCAGGGGTTGGGAATCTAGAGTTTGATTAGGAACCTACTGAGCTTCTGATGCTCTTGACACACCCACCCAAGTGGAGGAACAGACTGCTGCTATGTTGAGGATGACACACTGTAGGAGGTGCCACTCACATTCAGCATCAGCTGATAGGTGTCTGTTTACTCAGAACTTCCCAGAAGATGGCAGTCAAGTGCTTGCAGAAAAGGGCAGCTTTTCCTAATTAGCACAAAACTGCCTTAGGGGATGGATACAGAGCCTTTCATCCAGGGAGAAGTATGAGCTAGAGCCATATATTTGGAATTCATTAAAGTTAAACAAAAGATAGGATCACTAAGTGAGAGAGAAAAGGAAGGCTCAGAGCATGGGTCCTGGGTATACAAGTCAAGAGATAGAGACTGAGAGGGTAGGAGAACACCAGGAGAGCCAAAGTCCTGTAAAGAATATTTTGTGAAAGAAGACAACGTTTGGGCTAGAGGCATGGCTCTGGTGGTAGAACACCTGCCTAGCAAGCACTAACAACAAGGTTAAGTTGGCCAGTCCTGTCAAGGGCTTACCTAGCAGAACATAAATAGGTAGACAGCAGAGGTGGCATGAATAGTTTTGTACAATTGACCATAGTTGCTAATAAGGAGGATCATTAATCATATTAACATGCAATTCCTAAAAAGATTATGGTTTTACCTCCCTGGTGTTCAAAAATACAAGTGCAGATGAAAATTTTGGAGAAGACTATCATGAAACTAATATATCACTTACAATTCTCACTTCTGAGAAAATGGCTTGTGTGAGTCTGGGAATAAAGGACATTCTAACATCTAAGACAAGCTCCATGTAACAGAATGTATGAGCCACTCAATAGCCAGACTTTAGGACCTGGAAAATGTGTACCTTCTGAGAGTTTCATATTATAGCAAACTAGTATGTTTGAAGGTCTATACAATCTCCCAATGATGTTGAGATATATTCTTTCTCATAGAAGGGTACAATGACCAGTGGCATAAGCTCTTTTGTCATGTTACCAGAGTTCCTTTTATTCCAAATGCTGTTACACAAAATGGTCTCTTTCTCAAACAATTCCAGGCATCAGCCCAGGATCAATCTAAATAGACTGTATATTCAGTTTCTTAACCACAAGCTCGTATAAGGGATGAAGGCAGTGTGTGTGTAAGCACTGAAAGCATGACAATGCACCCATGAAATTCTGTGTTGTGACAGTATAACCTGTCATCCTGAAATTCATGATATGTTTTCTGTTTCACAAAAGAAAACCTTAGTTTTAAATATCTTTCCTGTTTCCCTAATGTTAAAAATACCCTACAATGAAGCAAAGGTTGATATATTTTTATATCAAAGTATGATAGGGGAGGGGAGGAAGAGTATTAAAAAAACAGATGTTTAACTATTTTATTTCATTTTCCTGTAAAACATTTTAGCACTGTCATTTCTAGTGGTCATGAAAAAAATAAATTATGCTAGGTTAAACAACTGACAAATTGTCTGGGGGAGGATGAGATGGTTTATGCCTGGGCATTGTTCCAATCATCTGTGAAAAGCACAGCATGACCATAAGAATTTAAATATTTCCAATACGCCCTTCCATGAGGAAAAACATGCATATGTTTCAATTAATCAAGGTTGAGGAGAATGCACTAATGATAGAATACAAGCACATAATCTCTTCTCAATATTTAGTCTAAAAGCTGTGTTCCTCCATATTTTAGGGGAACCTTAGTTTTGAAATTCTTAATAGAGATGTTTTATTAGCTCGGGTCTCCAATGGAAACAGGGTACATTCATCACATAAACCATTTTCAATGCAACTAGCCTAATTTGCTGGTGGTAATGAGCATCTTTGTATGACTATATTTATAAACAAATTTCCTCAGAAGCAGAACCACATCCTACACTTTTGTGTTCCCCTGTGCCTATTGTGTTCATGTGTGGATTTCTTGATTCTGTAGAGCAATGTACTTTGCATATATCATTGTGTACTGCCAGTTTTAAAAAGCAATGCTTCCATCCAGACTGGACGTAATTCCAAATTGAATAGTGATTTACTTAGACATGAACTAAATAGGACCTTGATATGAAGCAGAACTCAACTGCATTGTTAAGGTAAACAGGGAAAGTCTAGCAATCAGGGGAAAAAGAGGAGGAAATCTAAAAAAGCAAATATTTCAGGGAGTCCATCAGTGGGTGAAAGGTAGTGGTCGCAGTAGGCATTGTTTTAGGGCTGAAAACAATAGGGTGGGGTGGGAACAAGAAGAGCCAAGCTTTCATAGAAGTACAAAGGTGGATATCGGGGACCAGATGCAGAGGCTAGGGTTTAGAATTGGGGCTTTACTACTCTCAGAGGCAGAGTGGGAAAATGAGATAGATCTCCAGACCCAAATGAGCCAAATGGTACCATGCAAAAACCAAGGTGTGAATTCAGTAACAAAATGGAAAGCATTTTATCTTGGTTCACAAGATAAAAAGCCAAAGCCAGTTGAATAGTACTCAGGATTGATATTGATATGGCCTTTACCAGTTCTCTTTTCTAACTAGCTGGTTCTAGAGCCTAGGTAAGGCTGAATCAACAAGTGAGAGCTAAGTGGTTCCAGAGAATTAGTACAGTGCTGGTACATGAGAATGAGGCCAGAATTTTACAGAATTCCCAGAGATGGGGACTTGTATGGAATATACTACGCAAGCATCCACACTAACAATCAATCAGCAGATCATACCTACATAGCTAAATTTCCTTTTATATTTTTCCCAAGAGAACTTAAAGACTTACAAAAATCAACTCCATTTCATACAGTATCCATGTCAAAATCAATCAAGAGATAAACTATATTTCAATATTCCAAATAAGGAACACACCACACAGTTGTCCAAAAATTGCAAACTAGATAATTGCTCTAAATCCTAGCAGTATTTCAGGTGATTATCCTCCACTTCCTTGAAGCAAGCTCTTGTACTGACTTCCATTATCCCAATTTTCCTGATTTTTCTCCTTCACTGACTC